GCAAGCATTCATATTATATTAGCTGGTAACCCCCCGTGCCATACTGGAAAGCATCCCTAGTTCCTGAAAGAAGTATTTCCTAGCCAATTCTTACTTGTCTGCAATGGTTTGATTCAAGCTTACTGGAATAACTATTCAGATTCTGGTAATTTGCCTGTCCTGTGTTTGATAATTTGATTGACCTGCTACTTTTATAATAAACAGGAACTTTAAAAAATGCATTATCCGTTTGAGATAGTGTTGTAACTGAATTACAAATTTCAGATTGTCTAAGAAAGGCTGAGATTAAAACTTTCATCTTAAGCAACTTGAAGTCCTATTTCAGCTATTGCCAGCCCTATAAGGTTTCTTCAAACTAAGAAACCAATACCATATAGGTCTAGAACTACTTTTATTGTAACAGCTACAGTAACAGAATCTTGTCAGTCTGAATGTGCTTCCCCCCTCCCTCACATTAACTTCATGTGAACTAGGGAGGGGCCTGTCTGAGACATTCTTTCAAGTTAGTTTCTTGGAACAGGCTCAAGCCTCACTTATCTGACCATTGCCTTAGTAATAGCTCTTCCTCCCGTCCTTCAAAGCCATTCCCTATTCCCTCTCCAGCTATGAATTTATGGAACATTTTAGCTACCTTCTGTGGCTACCACTAAGGAACTGTGAATTAGAAGGCTAATTTATGCTTGTACTTAATTGTAGCTTGTTCTGTACATATGTTATCATCGCATTCAAACACATCAGAAAAAAAAATGTAGAAACAAGAACACTAGATTGATTATGGGATTCTTAATTGGTTGGCATTCTTTGAGACAATCCTCCTGAGAAGTTTTTGCTGTGTGCTTCCTGTCCATCAGTTTTAATTATTTATTAAATAGTGAATTACTGTGACCAAAGTGAAAAACTTTGAAATGAGATAGATACAACTGCAGTTTTTTTTCTTTTTTGTGTAAAAAACAAGGATGAGGAGAGAAAATTTCACGAATCAATAGAGCCAAAACAAACAACTTAATGTTCATACTGTTTTGGGTCTCTTGCTTTACAGTCTAAAAGCATTAATTAATCTCTCCAATATTTGGCTGTAGCAGCTGCAGAGCTCTTAAGAGAAGTCCTACATATATCCAGTTTGCCAATGTAAGCCCTCAGGATTTTCAGGTATTATGTCATTTCTTTGACATAATATGCATGATATTTAAATCTTTTATTTTAAATAATATTTTATCCATTTTGTGTGAAGTAAAGCCACTCTATATTTGTACCAAGGATATTTTGACATTTTGAAAACAAACTCAGGTCTCTAGATGATGGGGAATATGCACACACCTGTAGGTACACAATCTTGCTATACTTGTGAAGAAAGTGTATTCATGATTAAGACATACTGAAGGGTCTTGGATTATGGAAACCAGTCAGTAATAGTAATCCATTAAAATGATCTTAACATGCTGAGAAAAATGATGTAAGCAGTAGGGATGAATGGAGAACAAGCTACTGTTTTTCTATCAATACTACATGATAGTTCTGGCTGCTAGCCCCACATCATCAATTCTACCTTTTACAGTGTTGCAAAGAGACTTCTACTAGTGAAAGTTGATTACATTAAAAATGCTTATTTGGGAATTTGTCACAAAATCTGAATCATAAGTATTTTAAAACTTACATTCTGAAAGAAACAAATACTAAGGGAAAATCAAATTATAGCTGAAGAAATGGTTGTTACAAATTTTATATTAAAATTTCAAGGGATTTGAGGTAAACAATTCTGCAGAGGTTTATGGATGGTTATAATTTGATCAGATACTCAAGAATTCCAGTGGGTTAGTTGAAAGGATGGGATTGCATTTCCATGTACGAGAGTAGTACACAATCTCCATGAGATGCATTGGTTGCCAGTCTGCTTCAGAGTTCAGTTCAAGGTGCTTGTAATAACTTATAAAGCCATACATGGCATGGGGCCTGGTTATTTTGAGGACTGTCTCTCCCCAGTTACATCTACCCATCCCATCAGGTCTGGCAGGAAGGGCATATTATGGGTCTGTCTATTATGGAGGGTTATCTGACAGGACCCAGGAGGAGAGCCTTTCTGCTGTAGCCCCCACCCTTTGGAACATCATCCCCCCAGAGGTTAGATTGGCCCCAACCCTGCTTGCCTTTTGAAAGGCTGTAAAGATATGGTTGTGTCAACGGGCCTGGGAATCTGGTTATGGTTTGGAGCCTGCTAGATGGTTATACTGATTGATCTATGACTTGCACTTGCCTGGTTTTTATGTTTTTCAGTTTTAATTTTGGTTTTAATTAGGTTTTTTTAATTAGGTTTTAAGGTTTATTGTGTTTTTATTGTTTCCAGAGGGCCAGTGCTGCTACAGAGAAGCAGGATCACCAAGCCTCAGCCTACCTCATCTTCCCAAAGTGGGGACCTATAGGTTGCTTTTCCCAGCAAATTCAAATTTGTCAGGTCAATTCTAGTAGGAGAATATGGTCTTAAAGGTAACTTAATACCAAGCCATAAAAAGCTTCTTAAGTCAAGACCAGCACTTAATAAATTAGTTTAAATCTATTTACTCCAATCTAGGTGAGAACATGCATATTGTATAAGCAAATTATATGTTCCTAAATGCACAACCAAGTGAAAATTCACTCCATCAATATTATTTGCTTGAATTAGATGCTCTCCTAATGTACATTGAGAAGTACCTCTTCACCTTTGTGGTCACATTTTAGTTGTTTGTTCTCATGTAATTAGGAGGCCTTCAAGTGTATCACTACAAAAACTCCCCAGAGCTGTAGAGATATCCCGTTGCCATCATATCATTGTCAAGTATGAATGATGATGTAATTCACAGCTCACTGAGTGGTAGACAATGTTCTGAACATCACCCTGGCACCCAATAAGTTTCTAGGATTGTGATAGCTACACCCTTGCTCATTAGGTTTTCTGCTGTTCCCTTCAACCTAACAAACTGGATACATAAGTCCTATACAGGTAGTCCCTGGGTTAAGAACGCCCAGTTTATGGATGATTCATAGTTAAGAACAGAGCCTATTGTAGCGAAATATGAGTTAAATACACAATGATTCGAGTTAAATACACAATGGTTTGAGCTAATTACACAATACTACTTATACAATATTATACAATAATACTGTTTTGGCTTACATTCAAATTTGATTTAAGGACAGACCTTGGGAATGGAACTCGTTAAACTGGGGACTACTTGTAATCTGTTCAGCTCTTCAGCAATGACATGATAAGGCATTTTCTGTTGTGGCCCCAACTTGTTTTGCGGGGGGTAGGGGGGGAAGTGAAGGGAACAGACTAAAGCAGAACATTTCTGTGACTTTTCCTTGTTTCTTTTTTTTTTTAATGGGCTTTAAAGACCTATATTCCCAATGCATTGTTGCTTTGTTTAAATAACATGACTTCTATTTAATTTTTTCAGTGACTATCTTGCCCTCTAAATTTTATGGTACAAGCCAGTTAGGAGTATTCTAACAGATAATAGATAAGTCCCCATCTTTTATTTTCTGAACTGGGGTTTTTACAATTATTCTTTAAGTGTATAGTATTACTGCTTTAGTTAATTGTAAGCACATATTTTTGTGATCGACTTTTCCATTTTTTTTTAAGGCAGTATAAAGACGACCTGATATAGCTCACTGCTCTGCACAGAACATAGTTCCTGAGGCCATAAATTAAAAGATTGCATTTTGTTAAGCATGTGAGACTTTAGCAGTTATTTAGTCTGGAGACTAAAGTAGCACACTTTATATTTTGGGATTCTTAGAATCATAGGACTGGCAGGAGCCATTTAAGCCATCAAGTTCCATTCCCTGCTTTGGGGTGGCCTCCATTTACATTTGCTTTTCAATCAATATTAAAGAGCATGAAATTGTCATTTGAGCTAGTGAAGATTGGTATGCTTTATAAATCACATATTGGTGATGACCCCAATTCACATTTGGTTAGAAACCAATATGAAAGCAAGAGCATGAAATTATTGTCATTTGATATAGTGGAGATAGTTTTATTCAAGTATTCATTTATTTAGCCAACTGTCAATATGTGCAAGTCATTGCCATTCAATATAGATGTGAGCAAGTATGTCCGTATGTGAGATTCTGTTTCCTGCTAGAAAAAAAGGGAGTAATAGACATGCTATCAGTAGCTTAAACTGTCTGTAGTTCTTCTGTTATGCACTAAGGTCAAGCAATATATGGTACAATAGCATACATTTTATTTGTACAATTGATTTTAGTGGTTCTCTTGCTGTGGACTCTCATTTGCCTGCCCCACTGATAAATTAAAATTGCAGTTCCATTTGATATTTGTACAGGTATGTCCATCACTTCCTTCAGTCAAGTGTAAGAACTTGCATATTCAGATACATTCAAATGGAAAGGAGAATAGATCTTAATATAAGCTCTGGTTCTCCTTTCCATCTGAGTCAGAAGAAGCTGATTGGCACCTCTAAGTCAAATGTGTATTTTATTGAGATTGTGTAGCTAGGTAGCAACTCCAGAAAAAGAGGAAGTTTCTTTAAGGAGGAAATGAAAGATGCAGGTTGAGTTCCCACTATCACATCTGCATCATTTATTTTGAAACCAAAGTGCAGAATTTATTTAATAACCACCATCCCTCCCAGAACCTTGCCTAAGAAAATAATATTAGTAAATGAGTGGTAGTTATCCAAAAATTCACATAATTTAAAGGACTGCTGAACACATTCTAATCACACTGTAGGGGTAGAAAATTATATGGAACAAATTTGCAGATGCAAAGAGGAGAACAAGAGTAGATATCTGCTGACATGATTTTAGATATAGTCCATGTTATTTTTTCGGTTATGATTAGTAACAATCTAATTTGTTTATGCAATAAAAAAGAATAGATTTATAAATGGATATCAATCTTTTTCAAAAGTATCAGCTCTTGTCAATAATGGTTTATCTATAAAGGAAACCCTGGGTTAATTCTGATTTATTTATTTGGCTTGTTTTAATTACAGCTAGCTGCACTGGAGAGACAAATCTTTGACTTTCTGGGATTCCAGTGGGCTCCCATCCTTGGCAATTTCCTGCATATAATAGCTGTTATTTTGGGTTTGTTTGGAACCATCCAATACAGACCTCGATATATAGTTCTGGTAAGTATTACTTCACTTTCTTTTTAAGTACATTTACAATTCTTTTTCCAATTTTTTCTGCCTAAAAATATAACTTTTACCCACTTGCTTAATGTTCAGCTTTTCAGTATGTTTGCTTTTTTATCATGGGTGTTCTAATTGTTTTGTGTTTAGTATTAAGATGTTCTATGAGCAATTGGTGATGTAAGTGTGTGAGCATGAGTGGAAGCAGTATAGGGCCTTCAATGTAAGGACAAGTAATTCTTGGGTTTTCCATTCATGTCTTTCCAGCAACTTTATGAAAGACAAGGTACTGCTGAAAAACAAGAGCCTTGAAGTATAATTTGCTTTCTTTGCTTTGTTATGTCTTATTTTCCTCATGTTAAATACATTCTACATCCAATTTGCCCAGGAAGTTCACACTTATTAACCACATTGATTTATGTGTTTATGGGAAGCATCTCAAACCATCTTCTTTGAATTGATGCAGACATTAGTAACTGACCCTGAAAACAATTGAAGATAACAATTTTAAGAATAAATAACTATAGGACACCAAGGGGTTTTGTTTCAGTTGTGTGAAATAACATAATTATAGGCATAGTCCTTGTATAAGAAGTGGAAACATACTGGGGATCTCTGTGACTTAACCCTTCCAGGAATCAGGAATTCTAAACCCATGTGGAATTCTATCTTCCTTCAGATTTTGCTGAGCTTTAGCTGGCCAGAAAGGTTGAACATTTATGGTTTTTCCCTCTGGAAATGTCAGCATTTGGGAACTTTTTGTAATTTTATCAGTAATGATTTTGAGTTATAAAGACAATCTCTTCTATTTTATTTTATTAAGAGTTTCTGTTAGAGAATTTTATAAAAACTGCTTTTAAAGCTTATATTGGTACTGATGCAAGTCATCCTTTATTATTTCTCAATATATTATGGCATTTTAAACAGAATAACAGTAGTCTTTTATTCTTGAGGAGCTGAAATTGGGTTTTTTAAAAAGCAACTTTCCATATGAAGGTTAATAACTTAACCTAACTGTATTTCCTTGATCTGTGGATGTTTGAATTATCCCTAGATAACATTTGCATCCTTAAAATCTGTTTAGTTCCAGATTTTGTTTTTCCATTCTAGACCATATAATGTATTACTAAATAGGAAGAAACAAGTAAAATAAGAATGTGAATGTTAATAAATCAAACATTCAGATTTATTTTGTATTATAGCCAGGGTTGAGAAGTAGACATTTCCATTTTAAATGAACGTGCCTGAAATCTCAGGACATCCCAAAATCTTGCCAACTTTTGGTACTTGCTTCAGATTGGTAAAATTTTGTATTCTTCTTTGAAAACGTGGGAGAGCTTGTGCAGATAACTGCTGAGCCCTGTACTATATTTTAATGTCAGACTCCCTAAGTTTCAGTTTATTTCAATCAATTATAGCAGCCCAGAAAGCTCAAGCAAAAGATAGAAAACAAGGAACATCCAATATTTTTATTTAGGGCAGGACATGCTTTTGTACCTAAATACACTGATATTCTAGCTATACCCTTAAGATTATACAAATGTTGAGTTATCTTAGAATTCACCAAAATAAGTTCAATAAATGGCCCTCCAGTTTCCACTGAAGGACACTATACCACTTCCTGAGACAATCTTTTCTACTGTTAAACAAGTTTGGGTTTTTTTATCATTTTTTTCCTGCTATCATATCCATTGCTCTTTGTCCCATATTCTAGAATAGAATCCTGGTCTAGCTCATAATTTGCCATCTTCCTTAATAAAATGTAAGGGAGACTTTGTTTAATGCTTTGCTGAAGTCAAGGTATATTATGTCCACCACATTCTCACATTTAACTAAACTAGTCACTATTAAAAAAAGAGATGAGATTGCTGTGGCATGATTTCACCTTGTGTGAGATGGGCGGCTATATAAATATGATAGATAGATAGATAGATAGATAGATTTTTGATAAACCCCTGCTGGTTCCTGACAAGCAAGGCACACTTTTCTAAATGCTCAAAGATCAAATGCTTAATAAACTAGTCACTATTAAAAAAAGAGATGAGATTGCTGTGGCATGATTTCACCTTGTGTGAGATGGGCGGCTATATAAATATGATAGATAGATAGATAGATAGATAGATTTTTGATAAACCCCTGCTGGTTCCTGACAAGCAAGGCACACTTTTCTAAATGCTCAAAGATCAAATGCTTAATAATCTATTCCAAAATTTTGTCCAGAATTAATTTGAAGCTGACTGGTCTATAGTTACCTGTGTCTACTTTCACCCCACTTTTTGATGTTAGGACATTTGCCTTTAATCCTTTTGCATTACACAAAACAAACATACCTTATGTAGAACTTTTTCTAAGTAGATACTCATCAGGCACATTATCATTCATAATTGGATTTCTAAATGGCCCAATTACTTTTTATGTATTCTATCATCTCATTCCCACCCATCAATTCATTTAACAAAATATATATTTTTTCCACTTAAGCACACTCATTCAAAATGTTGTACAAATTTCTCCAAAACTCATCCCTCAGTTCTTCTGTTATCTCTGTTTGCTGGAATAACATGCAGCTATCACTATCCTAAGAATTCTTTCTTTTATACTCACCCCAAAAGCCTAGATAATGCCAGGTCATACTTTCCAACGTATATTTTGTCCTTTTAATTCATAATTAAACCTACAATTTCACTTTCCTACATGTATTTATCAACTCCATTCCACAAGATCAAATCAGGTCATTTCAAATCAGATTTCATTCAGATCTGTATAAGGGATTGAAGTTGCAAGGTGAGTATCAGTGATTCCGAAGCCAGACAGATCTGCTATTTAAACATGGAACTAGACTTTCTAATTGTTCAAATCCAAAAAAGATTGGCCAAAATTCTGTTCTGAAAAAGGAAAAGACCTAGTATTTAAAGGTGTGTGTATGTGTGTATACAGGATGAGTTGCTGGAGAGAAGAGATTAATTGCTATACCAGGATGAAATCTAACAATCTATTACAATCTTTCCCTTTCTGTCAGTTTTGCAAGAACATAATATATCTGTTTTGTGGTTCTGTATGTGTTGCATGTATCTGAACATGTGTGCATATGAATTAATGTGTACATGTGTGTGTTTATGTGTGTGTACACAAACATTGATGTATTATATAGACATGCATGCATACTGTCCCACATACATACTTACCCTAGCATCAGTTGAAACTAATCTCATATCTAAACACATCTGGAAACTGAATGGCCTGTAAGCTTTGTGAGTTCATAATTCTGCTCTATATAGAAAGCTGCATAATCATGTTAATTATAGGAAAAGCTGTAGTAGGAAAGCTTTAACTTTTATTTTGATGGTGGCAACATGCCCCTTCAGTAAGTCCCCCCTATACAAATAGCAAAGTAAGGAGAGATGTCAAAGTAGCTTTTCTAAAAGAAGATGACTTAATGATCTATTCAAAGTCTTAAGATGGATCTCCATGGCCAAACACCACTTAATTAAGGGCTTATTTAACTTTCCAAGTGGCTTACAAATAACAACATAGAATTAAAATATAAAGACTCAGTAACATAAACAACAGCAGGGCCCTGATATGTCACTGTGTTGGCAACAGAATCTTTGAATATCCCCCATGCCTTTCTGAGGACCCATGTTTTCATAATTCTTTAAAAATATAATAGGGAGGGGGTGGCCTGGATTATTGTTGTAGGCTGTTTCAGAGGTGATGGGCCATCACTGAGAATACTTGAGCACCAGGTCCCTATAGATGGCATTCCCTCAAATTTGGGATCTTCAGGAAGCTCTCAGCACTAGATCTTACTGGTGAGCAGATTGAACTCAGAGAAGATGGTCTTGGATGTAAGGCTTTAAAGGTGATAACCAGCAGCTTGAATTGTACCTGTAAGCTAACAGGCAGCCAATTAGCTGATATAATATTGGGTCAGGAACAGAACTTCATCAGTTAATCAACCTGAATTTCTAAAGAGAGTGCTACATATAGGTTGTGTAATATTATTGATTTGTTTTCTTTTTACTATATTTTTTTAATGTGTTAATGTGGACATATGATTTTTTTCTTCCTAAGCAATTTCTTCCAATCCAATACATTGATTTCATGTTTGCATTTATAATTTTAAACAATCTAACAAGCTTTTATTATATTGGAATGTGTATAATAATAAAAACCTGTAGAGACAGAAGCAAATTCATGGGGGAAAGAAACTAAATCTTTAGAAAGGTCTAAAATGCAGTACCCAGAAGATGTAAAACCAGATTACTTGGAGTTAAGCCAACCTACATGTCAAGAAACAATAAGAAAGCCAATTTTACCTAACTTTAAAAAAATGCTGTAAAATGTCTGATAAGGCAGACTTTCTCTCTGGGAAATTATCTGGTAAATTTTGAGCCAATCACTTTCATTTTCTATCCTATTGCTTTGATCTGTAATTTCACTTGTCACTCATAAATTGAACTGGACTAGGTCAGGATGATTGTAAGAGTAATTCTATATTTCAGGAGCTGTATCTGGCTTTCTTGATGCATAACTGAAGTTAACAATACACTGTACAACTGGAGTAACAGTGGAGATAGGCATTTTTTTAACAACTCCTTAATATTTTAGCCACTTCAGTACGTCTTCCATTTGTAAGAACAGCAACTTCAAGCATCAAGCATGATTTGTAAACTTTCTTCCCAGTAACGAGCTTTTTTTTCCTAATAATTTTGGCAATAACACACAAGGACTGCTATTTATGTAAATATTTTTATGGATTCTTTGTTTGTGGCATGAAAGCATTTAGCAAGAGGAAAGGTTTTGAATGAAGCATTACTGGAAGGGAAACAATTTCCTCTTCCTCGTTTTCTGTTCAAAATTTGTAGCCAATTGAGATTAAGGCTTAGTTGATGCAACATGCTAAGCCATGGTTTATTTAGTCATGATTGTTGAGTTAACAACAGTTGAGTTCATATAACATGCTAAACTCACTAAGACAAAATTAAACAAAACATATTACGGCTTGTCACAATGTGTGAAATCTAGCCTGAATTTAATTTGGAAGGAAGGAAGGAAGGAAGGAAGGAAGGAAGGAAGGAAGGAAGGAAGGAAGGAAGGAAGGAAGGGGAAAGAGAGAGAAGGAAGGAAGGAAGGAAGGAAGTCCTTTCATCAAATGATGCATAAATCCTACAAGTGTGCAAATCCAAATCTGAATTGAATTTGCAGTTTGATTTGATTTTGCAGTACAAATTGTAGAACTGAGTTTGTGTGTGCATGCATGGAATCCTACTGAATCTTCATTCAATTTGAAAGCATTTGACTCAGTTAGCACATTGAATTCATGGAGAAAATCTATCTATGTGATCGCTAAGGTCAACACTGATTTGATGGCACATAATCGATACTTAGAATCAATATTCCAATAATATATTTTGTTCCTATTACTTTCTCTTTCCTTTATACATTGATGCATACATGCATATGTTGTGTTTATATGTTTGTGTGTATATGTGCATTATATTTAGTCTATACATGGTAGGGGTAAATTATCAAAGTTTATATGTAAGGGGAAAAATCTGAAATTCAGTTATCTGAAGTTTTTCTTCCTATATATTTGTCATTCATGCAAAACCTTGATATACAATTTATTTTGTATAGGTATTTATGCCAACATTTGATAATCTGGGCAAATTTAATTCATAACATTATTTTATTAATCACAATCTTATTTATTCTGATTATCAGATTTCTTGGATTTTGGACATTTCTTAGGAGATTCAGCAAAATGAGGCTGTGGTACGATTGCTTCCATGCATTTGATGTAGAAATATATCATAAGAATTAAATGCATAGTTAGGTCAACGTGTCAGAATTTATTGGTATCAATAGACTAATATAGCACCATAAATAATTAATCTAACTTTCTTTGAGTGTAGTCAGTGAAGGAAAGAATATTGGATTTGCAGTTGGCTGCAGTTCTACAGTTCAGAGTAATCTTTCTGGAAAGTCCCTGCCTGGTGGTTCCCAGAAGTGCCATACTTATTGATCTTTTATATGTTTGAGCTACAGCATTCATGCGCATAATATTTTTATCATAATCTTTTATCTTTCTTTCTTTCACTTAGTACTCCATTTGGACTGCTCTCTGGGTCACATGGAATGTTTTCATTATCTGCTTTTATTTGGAAGTAGGTGGTCTATCTAAGGTAGGTTCCATGTAATTCCATATTTTGGACTGAGGTGAAATGGAACAATGATTCTTAATTAAAAGCATTGTAGGATGACTATTTTTTAAAATATATTTCACTGAATTCTGAAGAAAATGACTGTGGATCAATTGTGGAACTGTTGAATTTCTGTTTCCACAATTACTATAGCAATGTTATATGTTTTTGGGAAGCCCTCTGTCATGCAGAGATGCATCATACATAAATTTCTGAGGGCATCTCTATGAGGTAATTAGATAAACATTCCTTGTTTGGTGTCTGCAAGCCTTAAAGTAGTAGAAGTAAACCGATTATTGTTATGATTACTTTCTTCCAACTTGTCAGAATTCAAACATTTTGTTGGCAATAAACTGGAACTTTTCCAAGCAGATATTTTATTTATATTTTCATATTATTTTGCTCAGATTTCTGCTTTGCAAAAGTTCTTCTGTTTAATAATTTGGAGTTGGTTGAGACTATATTGTTGTTATTGTTTTTTACTTTACTTTCCTGAAGTTGTTTGAGCCTGATAATTGTTCTTTCATTCCTTCCATTCTGCATCCAAAGTAGCTCACTCTATGAGCCGCCAGCTTGCAGAGCAGAAGGTTCTTGACAGCCATCTTTTTCGTAAACTCCTAGTATTTAAGAAAAGTATAGCCTTAATACAGTTATTGAAGCAGAGTTTCCCTCTGTAGCCTTTTCTAACCTAGTGCACTACAGATTTGTTGGGACTATAATTCCCAGTCCCAGCACATATATAAGCATGTTTATATGTCACATACACATTTAAAAGTACATATTTCCAAGAAGACATCCTCACAGGAAAGAAAGCAATTAGCAATTGGTTTCCTGGAACAGAGAGGTAGGAGGACACAGCAGCAGGGGATTGTGATAGCTTGCAGTCTGGACTGAATAATTTGCAAGCTGTTGTTGAAGATCTTAGTCTGGACAAGATTTTGTTAAGCTGGTTTAGAGTCAAGCCAATAGGAACACAGGACAGGGGCAGCTGAGATGGTAAGTGCAGATATCCTTTTCAAGAGTTTATGAGAATGACTAGGAATGTTGGCTGTTGATTTTTAAGAAAGAATAGATACAAATATGGTTTCAATCAGCAATAATCCTGGATAAAAAAGAAGACAGATGACTAATGGAATGCTAACTGACCAGTTAAAACAGATTTGCACAAATTCTGTCGGTCAAGGCCTATACAAAACATGCACTCCAAAAGTGGGCAGGGCCAGAAACTGTCCTTTTGAAAATGTTTTGGAGGTTTTAAAAAGTGGAACAAATGTTAGTAACCAAGACTGAAGAAGAATGTTGGAAATTTTTGCCTCTACTGATATAATATACAGGGAGAAATACGTGAATCCAAACTGACATTTATCATTTATTAATCTTGGCCCTAGGCCGGCCAGGTGAAGCTATCAAACTTTTGTCCCAGTGTCTGGAGGCTGGATGGGTCTGAATAGGGAAGAATAGGCTTAGGTTGAATCCTGACAAGACTGAGCGGCTGTGGATGTTTGAACGCCCCTGAGTGTGGAATGGTTCCACTGTTGATCCTGAGTCCTTGGAACTGGTGAGCAATTTGGGGGAATCCGGTCTTCTTGGATTCACAGTCCTGGTTGAGAAGCAGGTGGCAGCTCTGGCCAGAAAGGCCTTTGCACAAATTCACCTAGTGAGCCAGTTGCTACCAAATCATTTGTGAACTGTACAAGTTGCCAGTAGCTTCCATGTACAACTCAAGTGTTATTTTTATTTCAGATAGTTTCACTATCTCTAGTATACTATCTCTAGTTAAATTCAAGCTATCTTCAAGAGATCAAGCTTTCCAAGTCAGTTGTGTACTGTTTGGCCCAGTCAATAGTAACAGGGAATGGGGGGGTGGGGGGTGGGACTCCTGGCATCTGCAAGTCCCTGCGGTTTTCTTGGCAAAGTTTTTCAGAAGTGGTTTGC